GCTTCTTGGCGGAGGAGGTCTGCCTAGCTTCCCATTAGGTTAACCTAGGTTGTGTTTGGTAGTCCTCCTCTGTTGGAGGGGTTGATTGGAGGAGCCCCACCAGCTAACCCGGTAAACCCACAAGGGTTTACCGGCTTAGCTGGCCACCAGTCCTGGGCCAAGTTGGTTGCCTAGTTGGTAGCCCCGGAGCTGCCCCGCTTGGATTTTAGGGAGCAGGATTTTGGGGCATTGGTTACTTCAATCTTAGTTCTGTCCGTGCCCTTGCTTCCTTCCCAGGTAGGTGTGGTTCGCCCTGCTCCTTTCCCCCTGCATCCGGCTCCTAAATGTCCTAAATGTCTAAAAGTGTTTCCAGGCTAGGGCAGGGTTTAGTTGGTAATAAGGCTCAGGTGGCTCAAGTTTTGAGTTTTGAGCCGCAATCAAATTGGGTGCGCCCCCCTCCCCTGCCTCTCAGGTTTGTTTCCGGGTGCCTTTGGGTTTGTAGTGAGTACAGTATATTGTTTGTACTCGCTACAGATCTGTAGCGAATACAAACAATATACTCACTGCAGGTTCCTTGGATACATCCTTCCGGAGGTTTCCTTCCTCTTGGATTTCCTCTGCGGAATTTCGGGAGGCCCTTGGTGCGTACCTCCTGCGAGACCCCAGTTTACGCCTAGTTAATATATCTGGCTTTTGAGTTTGGTTCTTCTTCCCCATATTGGGTGCATCATGAGGTTTCGGAATCTTCCTGGCTGGCAGGAAGACTGCCCTTTCATTTTCTTGGGAGCTTGGTGTGAGTTTTGCTGGACCTGCACGTTTGAGTGGTGAAAGGTTTTCACGGTGTTGCAGATACTGTATTTTTGGGGGGCTCTTTGGAGTTCCTCAATGCATGTCTCTTCGCCCCTGTGCTTTCCCATGCTGTGGGTCTGGAGCAGTTGCATGCTCTAGTCCCCTCTCTTTTGACTGCCTTGGTAGCGGATGACCATTAAACTTCATTTAATGAAGGTCATTTGATTTCGGTCTTGTGCTTTTTTGGTCTTCTTGAGCTGTTCTCAGATTGACTTGCGGAGGATGTGGAGGCGTTGAGTGGGGGGTGCCTTCGTCCGGAGTTCTGGTTTCTGCTGCCGTGGCATTGGCTGCCTTATTGAAGCTGTTTGCTCTGATCCTCCGGGAAGCAGTTTCTATGTTTTTTACCTCTCACCTCACATGTTTGGCAGGCCTTCCTTCCTCACTCCTTAGATTCAGCTTGGGGCCTTACTTTACAGTTTTCGTGTCCGTTCTGTCTGCTGTTGTTTCCAGAGAACGGTGTTACTCAGTTTTTGTCGCCGGCTTCTTCCAGTTGCTGTCCTGTTTCTGATTTGTTGGTGCTCTGGGGAGAGGGTGCACACGCTTTCCGGGGTGGTCATGCTAGGGCTCAGGTTTCGGTAGGTCAAGGTGGGCGTTTGGTGCCATGTTCGGAGCCGGTGCGTTCTCCTGAGCCTTCTTCATGTGGTCGGCATGGTGGTTGCTCTGCAGAAAAGTCGACTTCACAGAGATTGCCTTGGCCCTTTTGTGTGGTGCCCCATTGACGGGGCGATGGAGGGGAAGGCTGGCTCTGTTTGCCCATGCCTGGTCCCACGATTCGTGGGCTTTTCGCGTCGTCTCTTCCTGCCTTTGGGCGGCTCCTTCTTCGATTGGGGTTCGGGGCTGATGAGGCAGGCTTCTTTCCCATCTCTGTCGGGTTATCTTGGAGTGGGTTCGCTTGGGCGTGGTCGATACAACTCCATCCCTCAAGTGGGTTTCCCACTTGTTTCCGGTTCTGAAATGGGACTGTGCAGGTCTCTGGTTCACTCTAGAGCTTATCCCTTCTGAACCGTTGGATTCCTTGCCCCTCCTTTCGGATGACTACTTTTTCCCAGGTCCGGCTGCTTCTCGAGCGGGTGCATAGATTATATCCCTGGACTTCAAGGACACATATTGGCACGTTCCTATTCATTTGGGGTTCAGGGATTGGTTGATTCCGTGGTCGGGCGTCAAGCTTTCCGCTTTCATTGCCATCCATTCGGCTTGAACATGTCATCTCACGTGTTCACGCAGTTAACCCATGTCGTGGGGGCCCATCTTCATCTGCTAGTGGTTCAGGTCCTGGCCTACATCGCAACTGGTTGGTTTGGGGTCCCAGCGGGTCTGCGTGTCTGCTCACCAGGGACGTAGTTCTTTCCCAGCTTGCCGGATCCCGGTTCCTGGTGAATTGGAGGAAGTCCCATCTGGTTCGGATGGAATTCTTGGACTGCGTTAATTTCTCTTCCTCCTGTGTCTTTGCTCCAGCTGCAATCCAGCAAAAACAGCAATATGCTGTTGAACTGCGGGGTGTTCTCTTCGGTCCTTGGCTCTTTGGGGACTGGTCTCTTCGAGTGACCTGTCTGCTGGATTCTCAGGGTTTGGCGCTCTATGCAGTTCATATCCGGGGAGTGTCCATCGTCCTGGTGGATGGCCTGTCTCATTTTATTATCTTGTCCATGGAATGGACGGTTGACACCGACCCCTTCAGTTGGCTCTGCCAGACATACGGGCTCTCGAAGGTGGATCTTCTCGTCAGCGTGGTCTCAGTGCCTCCTGCTATATGTGGCGCCCTTCCCCGACTGTGGAGCCGTCGCAGTAGACACCTTTTGGCAGGACTGGTCAAGGTCGAGGTGGGGTTAACCCGAAGTAACAGCTGGACCTCTTTCCCCCGGTTCAGTTGTTACTTTGGGTACTGAGTCTGTTGGTGTCTTACCATGAGAGAGTCTTCCTAGTGGCTCCTTGGTGGCCAGCCCAGCCTTGGTTTCAGGCATTGATTGCTCAGTATCTGAACCCGGAGCATTTCCCGCAGCTTCACCTCTTTCAGCAGATCACACCAGTCTGGTACATGGCTGGTTCAGTCTACTCCTCCGCTCTTTGTGTCTGGTCTTGTTTGATGTGGGTTTATCACCACTTGTATGGTGATCAGGTTGCTTCATTGATAGTGTCCCACCTGCGAGTGTCGTCTCTGCGGCTGTATGAAGTTTCCTGACGATCCTTTCATCACTTTTTGTCTCTTCGTAGGTTGTCTTCGATTTCTGATCGGGTTGTTTTGTCCTTTCTCTTTTGGTTGTTTTAGGACCATCATCTTATGCCAATTGCATTCACTCCATATTGTGCAACGCTGACGGAGCTGCTTCTGCTTGCAGAAGTGGCTTGGATCCTGGTTCATCCTGGCTCTTCTCTGGCATGCGTAGCCTTGTGTCACAGATTGCAGCCAGTTGTCTTGACTTAGAGTTGAGGAGTGAGTGGCGGCTGCTTTCCAGGTAAGTCCCTCTTTTCCTTTATCATTGGTTAGGTACCTCCGGGAAGCCAAAGGGGTTCTCCACAGAAAACCAGCATTGAATGGTATGAAACCCCATTTTCTGGGTGAGACCCGGAGGCTCCCCGGCATCCCTCCCTCCCTCTCTCCGGTCGGGTTTTTTCATGTTTTTGATATTCAGCCTCTGAACTGGGATTGGGTAGTCTGTGCGGGAAGTCTTGGATCTCCCCTTCCCCCTCCCGGTGAGGGGGGAGTTGTGCAGACAGCGGCGCTGCAGCTGTGGTGATGTCATGCTTGTTTGCTTGTTTTCGATTAGGGAGTTCTGCTTGCTAGTTTGGCTATCAGTTTGCAATTTTTAACCAGCTCTAGTTTGTTTTGGAATTCCTACCTTTCTGGGTACCTGACCTGGTATATGGCAGACATAGACTGCTTCCAGTTACATCGGGGTGTATGTATACCATTGCTTCTCGTGCCTCTCTGAGGGGGGGCCAGGTTCTCCCGCTGGTCCCCAGTAGGCCTAGATCTCCATTGATTGACTGTTGCCACAGTCTATTATATATACAAATCAGCTTGGTATAGCTCCAGGAAGCTTCCGGGGCTCACCCAGAAAATGGTGTTTCATTACATTCAACGCTGCTTTTTTCAAAGAAAAGTCGAGTGTTTTGAAATATCTTTAAGCGTTATTACAGATAGTTCATCTCAACAGTGTGTAAAATTAAGGAGGTAAGACGATTTGTGCAGGTACCTGTCCCTGGTGGGTGAGTCACCAGGGGCCTGGTGAATTTGTTACGTCCCAACCATGCCAGTGACACACGATGGGAGCTACCGAGATGCTACATGGAAAGGATCATTTCATTACACTCAATGCTCTAATTTTGGACTTTTTCATTTCATCTTTTTCCTGCAGTTTCCTCCATCCTCCTCTAATCACCGCTCTAAAGAAACCGAGTGGTCTATAGGTTTGTTAGCCTTGGATTCCATGTATGAACACCACAATAGATTGTATGGTAGCCATTGCTGATTTCAATGGTTAGGCACTTGATTTAATTGCTTGTGTTTTACTGTTTTTCCTTTCATTTTCTTATTTTTTTACTTGTTATTGACAGTGGAAAATCATTGACTAAGCCTTGAGGTTTTTGTAGGTCATCAGATAATGATACCAATAAACTGAGCCTAAGAGCTGTAATTACCTAAGTGTAATTACCTAAGTGTAGTTACAGGATGAGAGCTACGCTCGAGGTGTCCCGTCTTCCCAGCACTCTTTGTCATATAACGCTTTGAAACTACTGACGGTCTTGGCCTCCACCACCTTCTCACCTAACTTGTTCCAATCGTCTACCACTCTGTTTGCGAAAGTAAATTTTCTTATATTTCTTCGGCATCTGTGTTTATATCTATGACCTCTTGTTCTTAAAGTTCCAGGTCTCAGGTAATCTTCCCTATCCCTGTGAGTGGCATGTGTTGTCGGGGTGAGGGTGTTGTGGGATGGGGAGAATGAGGGTGTGTGTGCTTATGTATGTAAACACGTACACTGTTCAATATATAAATTGGCACGTACTCTAGTATGTAAAATACAGAGGTATGTGGAGATATAAATGAATGCAAGTACTGTGTAATACTGTAATGTAGTATTATTCCTTCTTAGCGTTAATGATATCTTGTTTGTGCATCCGTGTGTAATGCAGTATTAGCATGTTAATAAGGGTTAACTTTATTACAGTCCATCAAAGAACCAGAAGGAGATGAACATACAATAGTTACGGTGGAAAACCCAGCAGCTGTGAACACAGAAGAGACCAGTTTTGTGTACGAGACTAAGGTAAAGTGTTTAGGCCTCTGCTCTCTCATTGTATCACTTCTCCCCTCTAATGTTTTGTTATATCTGGTGTGTGTGTGTGTGTGTGTGTGTGTGTGTGTGTGTGTGTGTGTGTGTAATTACCTAAGTGTGTAATTACCTACAATTGTAAATTGTAAATTGGTGATTTACAACTGTAAATTGTGTGTGTGTGTGTGTGTGTGTGTGTGTGTGTGTGTGTGTGTGTGTGTGTGTGTGCGTGCGCCTCGGCATCCCTTGTATTGTTTATCCAATTAATTTTTTCATCTTGTCAGTGCTGACGCTATATTCCCATTTCCACCATTAGAGTATACAATACTGTATTTATAAATATTAACTCAGTGTATCATAAATTCTCTTTAAAAGTACATTCCAATAGTTTCATTGTAAACCATATTAACACCTGTGTAGACCTGTAGGAGAGAGGCGCACATATTAACACCTGTGTAGACCTGTAGAAGAGAGGTGCACATGTTAACACCTGTGTAGACCTGTAGAAGAGAGGTGCACATGTGACCAACTGTGTAGACCTGTAGAAGAAAGGTGCACATATTAACACCTGTGTAGACCTGTAGGAGAGAGGTGCACATATTAACACCTGTGTAGACCTGTAGAAGAGAGGTGCACATATTAACACCTGTGTAGACCTGTAGAAGAGAGGTGCACATATTAACACCTGTGTAGACCTGTAGAAGAGAGGTGCCCATATTAACACCTGTGTAGACCTATAGAAGAGAGGGTGCACAAATTAACACCTGTGTAGACCTGTAGAAGAGAGGTGCACATGTTAACACCTGTGTAGACCTGTAGAAGAGAGGTGAACATATTAACACCTGTGTAGACCTGTAGAAGAGAGGTGCACATATTAACACCTGTGTAGACCTGTAGAAGAGAGGTGCACATATTCACACTAAATCAAATTAATAGCTTTATTCATAAATAGTTGTACATGTGTACGGTAAATGGGAAATTTACCTAAAAATGTAAATGCATTAATTACATAAGAAACTGTAACATTAACATTCTAGCACATAGACATTGTCATTATAGCAATCAAATCAGAACTTTACTTGTGACAACTTATACATATTATTATAATATTGACTGGACTAAACAGATGTATTGCAATCTAAATCAAACTTTCATTTGAGGCATAAAGTAAGTGACATTTAGCTAACAATTTGAAAGGTGATATATTGTAAAGACAAATTAATGTTTAACGTTAGAGCGGTGAGACAGATATTGCTGTAATTTATATCACAAAATTAGGATGACGAAAAGACAATTTGAAGTAGAACTAATATAAACTAATCATACCATGAAGTTATAGATATTTGCAACCCCCCTCAGCATTCTACATCAAAAGATTCTGAAGTTATCCCAACTCAAAATCACTCCAAACACACAGTTCACATAACATCGATCTGACTTCAGTTGGATTCAAAATGCATGTCAGTAATCCATCTCTTAATGAAAGAATTTTCCATAATTCCAAATATCCAGCTGGGGTCTCCTTGCTCTCTTTGCTGACTACTGTACGTACTTGTTTTATTCTCTCCTGTAGACCTGCTACACCATCTGTATCTGTAAGACAGAATGTCTGTTCGTCTGTGTTTGTCGAAGGCTGAGGCTAGATGTTTGGGGCTAGCCTCACCCAAACATGCAGGGTGAATGGTCTGAGGTATGGGACAGATGTAGGCTGAGGCTAGATGTTTGGGGCTAGCCTCACCCAAACATGCAGGGTGAATGGTCTGAGGTATGGGACAGATGTAGGCTGGTTGGGGTTGTCAGAATTCAAGAGGGAACAGCATGCTACGGTGATGTACTGACCCTCCATAATGATTTTTGGCACTGGTCACTGGCTACACCTGACTAAATATTTAAAAATAACAGATTCATAACAGTAGGTTTTCTTATTGATATTGGGATATTCACTGATATTGGGAAAATTAAAAAACATTGTGCTTTCATACTTTGGCCATAGCACCATAAAACACACAACTTCAATACAGCCCTTATCAATCCCACTGCCTTCTACTACCATGAGCAAACCCACCACATTCCCACAATTTTGGAGGGAAAAGGACAACTATTGTAATCTTTTAAAAATTCATTAATTATGAAGATATACTGACACTTGCTCTTATTGTGATAGGAGTGGGAGAGAGAGGGAAAGGGTGGAAGGTGGAGAGAAAGGGGAAAATTGGGGAGATGGGAGGGAAGGGGCAGAAAGGGATGATGAAATAGGAGTGATGTGGGGAGAGGGAGGGAGGAGGAAGAGGTGGGGAAGAAACAGACAATCCCAGGCTCTGCTTGGTACCTCTTCTAGTTATATATATCACTCATTCTTAAGTTGTATTTCTTAACAATTAGCCTAACCACTTGAGCTGGATCTTAGAGCGACGGTCTCGCTTCATGCAGGTCGGCGTTCAATCCCGTTCATTGACGGCGTCCAAACCGTCCAAGTGGTTGGGCACCATTCCTTCCCCGACCCCCCATCCCATCCCAAATCCTTATCCTGACCCCTTCCAAGTGCTATATAATCATAATGGCTTGGTGCTCTCTCCTGATAGTTCCCATCCCCTTCTTAACAATTACCTGGTAAATTTATATTTCTAGAAAATTAGGAGTAGCCAGAAGAAAGAGTTGATCGAGTTTGCTGGATGGGTGATTCATGTCAGACAAAATTATATCATAGCGAATTATTTCTTCAGGTGTGGGCTAGGACATCAGACCAGGTAAGAGATTACAATGAGTGCAAGGATAAACAAGTGGGCCCTTTGAGGATATAATATGCCCCTGATATTTCAGAATATTTTACTGGAATATCGCTGCCTGATAATTTTAGACTGAGATCTTGAGAAAGCAAGTCCAGTGAGTTAAAGGCAACCACAACACATTTGGCAGGATTGAGCGTTAATTTGTATTCTACACAATATCTTTCATATATTTCTATCAAATTTTCCATAGCGTGCTTGATACTTGCTTGATGGGATTCGGGGGGGGTCTTCTACTCCCGAAGCCTTGCCTGAGGCCAGGGTTGACTTGTGAGAGCTTGGTTCAACAGGCTGTTGCTTGGAGCTGCTCGCAGACCCACATATCCACCACAGTCCAGTTGATCTGGCACTTCTTGAAGAAAACTATCTAGTTTCCTCTTGAAGATGTTCACAGTTGCTCCGGTAATATTTCTTACACTCACTGGGAGGATATTGAATAACCGTGGACCTCTGATGTTTATACAGTGTTCTGATTGTGCTTATGGCACCTCTGCTCTTCACTGGTTCTTTTCTGCATTTTCTTCCATATTGTTCACTCAAGTATGTTGTTATTTTACTGTGTAGATTTGGGACCTGATCCTCCCAGTATTTTCCACATATATATTATTTGATATATCTCTCATCTCCTTTCTAGTGAGTATATTTAGAAAGCTTTAGCCTCTTGGGTTGGTGTAAGTACTGTAGAACTAGATCAGCATCATAACAGGAAATATTCCCCATAGTACTGCCTATGTGACAGCCAACTCTACTAGCTCTTAATTCTTTAACAATGGATCAAGAAAGATTCAAATTTGCATATTCCAATTTTGGTGTCACAAAAATTATGAAGGAGAGGTGTCCCACCTGTGGTGATCTTCATGGTAACTGTATGAGTTTTTATGATGCTCCTTTCATCACTTCTTTCCTCTTCATCATTGTTCTTTGGTGTTTGAGCATGTAGTGCTCTCTCTTCTGTCCTGGACTTTTTCCTTGATTGGCATCTCTTGCTGAATGCTGTTGCCTCATATCATGTGGCTGTGGCAGAGCCACTGCAGCTGGCATTTGGAGTCGATACTACCCTGGCTCCGTTTTGCAAGATGTCCCGTGCATTGTTTCATCTCCTGCTTGCTCATGCGCCGCTTTAGCCTGCTTGGTGTCTGGACTGTGTTCTTTTGTTTCTGTTCTCGGTTTCCAGTGTCCTCTTCTGTCTGTATTCACCTAATTGTGCATGCGGGAGTTGAGCTTCGGCTCTTTAGTAAATTGTAATTGTTTCTTTCAGCTCTTGTTTTTGGTTTCTTTTGTTTCTGGTTGTCAGGTGGGTGAGCTTCATGGTCTCCTCCTGCAGCAGGAGTTTTGTTCTTTTGGCCCTGGTAGGCAGTTTGTTTGTCTACGGCCAACTCCTTTTTTGGTGATGAATGAGTTGGATGGCTTCCCAGTGGCCTTTGGTTTTTGAATGGCTTCCCAATGGCCTTTGGTTTTTGAATGGCTTCCCAATGGCCTTTGGTTTTTGGATGGCCTTTGGATATTGATGCTTGGTTGGTTCGTCTGGGGATACTATATGCGTTGTGTCCGGTGGTGGCTTTATGCCGCTACCTTTCTGCCTCAGATTCTGCCTCAGTGGATGCTTTGTGGATTTGTGGATTAATCCTCTCACCTTGGTCACCCTGTTCCAAGGCTTATCTTTCTCTGGTCATTCAGTTTTATTAAATCTAGCCAGCTTGCAGTCTATCCTTGCACCCATGATGGGTAAAATGTTACTCTCTTGGCTGTGGTTATGAATGTCGTGGGGTTTGGGAGGTTGGAAAGGGTTCTGGCGTTCCAGTATCTTGTCAGTGTGTCCGGGCCCCAGCATATTTGTGTGGCTTTTGGTCATGTCTTTTAGCCGGGAGTCTTGCCCTAGTCTTAGTTCCTGTGGTGCTCCCTCTTGCCTGGTAGGTGCCCTTTTGTTTTCCTTCTTTGTTGGTAGTTAGCTTCAGGGAGCCACAAGGGGCTGCCACCAGAAAACTGGCGCTGAATGTAATGAAACTCCAATTTCTGGGCGAGCCTCATTGGCTCCCTGACATCTTCCCTCTTTCCAGGTTGACAGGGGGGTTTCAATACATCTACCATAGAACAGAGGGTGAAGTTGCCAGCTGACCATGAGCTACGTCTCTCCTCCAGTCAAATGGATGGAAGACATGAGGCAAATGAGCTGGCACTAGTTTTGAGAGATTTTGATCGTTTACATTCTTGGGGAAGTTCTTTTGGTGGTTCTTGAGGCTTCGGTTTTGTTTGAAGCCTGCAAGGGTTTGTTTTGTCTCGCTGACTTTCTGGGTACCTTCCTGGTGGTAACACAATGAAATACATAAAAATCGCCTCCCTTCGAGGCCAGTTTCTTGCTCTGGTCTCCATTAGGTGATAGAACTCTGCAGCTGATGCAAATCTAGTAGATGGTACACTATCAGTGGTAGTAGCTTCCGGTAGCCACAAATTTGATGCTGCAGCTCTCTTTATGCTTGTCCGTGAACACTTAAAATATTAGTTCTGCTGTCAACTTCTGATTCGAGTGGTAGGTCGGGGCAACTTGGTCTAATGGCTTCTGGTTTTCTGTATCATCTTGAATGGTAACTTGCTGGTCTTGAAGAGTATTTAATGGATTTGTCCATTTCCTAAATATGCTGTCTAGCATTTAAAGGTGGTCTTCTATCTTTGCTGATTGCCTCATTGTGAGGCAGCTTCCAGTTTCAGATGGTTTGATCTCCTTATCCAAGTGCCTGCTTCCTTTGGATATATGTTTAGATTTTGAATTTCAGGAGATTGGCATTCAGTAATCTTGTACTAATGTTGTCTTCTGTATATTAGTTATCATATATGAGAAGATCTGAAGTTATGTACAGGGAAGAAAAACAACAAAATTTAATTTGGACAAAGTGCTTCATTAGTTGAATTTTTATGTGGTGGTAGGATGTCGGCCACTTACTAGTGTTCCTGTTCTTGTTTACAGTATCACTAAACCAGTGTTAAATTTTCCTGTACTGGGCATTTGCATGTCCTTCTTGACACCGTTGATCTTTCAAAAAGCATCTGTTGAGATACCTTTTGGAGAATAGTTAATTTAATTTTTGGCCTTTCACTAATATGTGTTCCTATGAAAAATGGAAAATGTGATTCAGCAAAGCCAATCAACAAAGAAACGATGAACAAGTCGTTTTTGGAAAACAATTTTCCAGAGGCATCATTGGAAACGATGCCTCCAATGGTACCACACTGGGAGAATGTTGTCCGATACTTCTGTAATTTGATTTAGTTACCACTCCAGACAAGAGTACAGTATACGTTTTTAAATATTTTCTAGAGTTTTTCTTCTCTGCAGGAACCATTCTACTTTGATGATACTGGATTCTTAGAAGAAGAAGAAGAGGAACCCGATGATGACGACGATGACACGTACTCAACGCGTGCTGCACCAACCAGAAAGAGGAAAAAAGCTCCTAAGATTCCGAAACCTGTGAAAGTGAGGGTCTTCAAAGTCCAAAACTTGATAATGTATTTGAAATATTTGATTATCAGACTTAATTCAATTTGATCTCATTTATATAGTTTTGCATATCAAAAGAAAAGTGATTCTGTTTTGATGTGTTTGCCTGAACTGTATTGTGAAGATAACAAAATATATAACTTCTGATGCTGAATATTACCTGCTCTGGGGGCTTGGTCTGTCTTTGCTAGATGTATCAATACACTCTTTTATTTCTCTCTCTCTAAACTTTTTTAATTATGAAAGATTTGTGTTCATCTAATGAAATGGAAAAATCATCTTAAACACCCACACTCACACATGCACATGCACTCGCACTCGAACACACAACCCTCTATATAAAGGCTGATAAAATCATGAAGAGTGAAAATAAATAATAGCGGTCGAGACTAAAACATCGGCAAAGAAGTCTTACATACAGTAATATACCCAAGAAACTATCACTTTTCATGGAGAGAGACTTGAGAGAGGCAAGACCCAAGTTATCACTATTAGAAACAATGAAGATTTGAATAATTGGAATGATCTAAATATGGTGTATGTAAAAACACTGTTACATACAACTCATGACCAGACAACAGAAGAACAATACAAGAATATGACAACAGAAGGCCAAAATACACATTATAAAGATAACGGTTGTGATTGTGGAGAGATGGGATCAAAACTCCTAATCTTGAGGACTGTTCCTCCACCAGGAAATTGACCGAGAAGCTAGAGACCCCATATTGGAGGAGATACTTAAAGAGCAAAAGGTAATGGACATTGTGATAAAAAAACTTTATCTTATTAAAAATCTTATAAGAATGAGAGGAAGTAGCCTGATATTCACTTACAGCAAATCAAAATGAGACTTTGAAGTCCGATTAGGAACTTGCGACCACTATGTCCTGATGCTCATGTACTTAGTGAAGCAGCAGTTAAGAAACAGGAAAAGTCATAACAAGCTACAAGAGTATGATAGAATTCCTATATGGAATAATCTGGCCTACTGAGTTCAGCAATAAGAAACCATAAGACATGATACAGTACCTCATCCAGATTTATTACCAAACTACAGACATTAATTTTAGTCCCAAAAGTGAGAGAACAAGACAGACAGCAATTAGTTATTTACCTTTAGGAAATAAGAAAGTAAAAATAAAAATAAGAAGGCGTGTAAAGAATTTGATTCAAATTGTTTGAATTAAAAGGAAAATTGAGAGAAATTTGAGGACTCGTCCGCTAAAGCAGTAAAAGGCCAAAACCATTTTACAGAATATGACAATATTTTAAGGGAACTCCACAACAGAACAAAGAGAAGGGAGTATCCTGAAGAAAAATAATAGTAAGAGAAGAAGAAGAGGTTAATGAGCACCTTAGAGACGAGGACATGACAAAAGCTACGGCACCAAACAAGATCTCGTCATAGATGCTAAAGGATGGGGTCGGTCTTATGTCATGACTGATGTTAAAAAGCATATTACAAAAGATTTACAGAATACATGCGAACTAGGAAGTAATCAATGCACTTAGAATGCACAGATTTTTTCCATAAAGCACCAATTTAGCAGAATTTTACGCCAGGATAATGGGAATCAAACAGAATAGGCAAGAGTTGGTCAGCCGCATATTCCTATGCCTTAGACATGGTGTTCACCAGTATTGGCTAATGTTTAGAATGGAAACAGACTTGTGTGTATGCAACCCGTTCTCGCAAATTCGTAAAGTCAATATAGACTTATTAACACTTTCGCGCTATCTGGACGCGCCGGCGCGTTCGGTTTCGTCTAACGTAAACGCATAGTGGACATAAAGTTATGTCTACTTTTAAAATATTTGTATAAAATTCAATTTTTATCCGATTTACTTTGGGTTTGTTTCAAACTGCGCGCTATGAGGCTCTCTTTCTCACCACTAGGCTGCATGGTACAATAAGTTCATGAAAGGTGTTGATAACTTCGATCAAATGGTATTTTGTCCCAAACGGGTTGCAGGTGGGCGACTTTAGCCGTTTATACTGGTAATTCTTCCCCCATATCATGTATTATATGCATATGTCTGTTTAGGGAATTTTATTCCGATCAATATACAACCAAAAATAACTGTGTGCAACAAGAATAAACTTGACAAACATAACAAAAGTAAAAATATTTCGTGTGTGTTTGACGCTCACTGATATGTTCCAGCGTTGTTTTATATTTGTCGCTATTCTAACTTACGCTTTGTTGATATTTTTTACCTATGGGCACATAGAACATTCTATTGCGAACACATTGACATAAAAATGAATGACGTACATAGAAAATTAATGTCATGAGAGTGAAATAAGTATAAACTTTCAAAGCGCCGTGCGTCGTCCCGTCACCGATACCGGGTAACAATTTCACCACTTCCCACACTCTTGCGGGCGGGCTGCATCATTATTCTACGCTTATATTCATATCACCGTGTTGGGAATTTCATTGCGAGTCCATTGATACCAAAATTAACGCTGTAGAACAAGTGTGGAGGTGATTACAATCCCAAGAGTAAAAACATTTTGTTGCTGATGGGCGCTCACGGGGAGTCATCTACGTAGTTATTTATTTGGTGCTGGTATCCCTATATGTTTCGTGACTTATTTTACTGATGTTCTTCTAGAGAATTTTATTGCGAACACGTTGGTACCAAAATGAAATACGTAGCATGAGAACTAAGGTCAGAAGAGTAAAAAGAGTATACACATTTTTGTTTTTACGCTTAAGCGATAAAAACGCAGCGCGCACATTCGGTTGGCTGAGTGACCTTTGCGGAGAGCGCGAAAGTGTTAACTACGTGCATAGGTGATATACTAAACATAATAGATACCCTTGAAAAGATTCATAGAAAACACCGACCTTACCTAACCTTGTTAGTATCTTAAGATAAGCATCTTATTGCTTCGTAATTACAATTATTACCTAACCTATACCTATTATAGGTTAGGTAATAATTGTAATTACGAAGCAATAAGATGCTTATCTTAACATACTAAGTAGGTTAGGTAAGGTCGGTGTTTTCTATGAATCTTTTTAAGGGTATCTATTATGTTAAGTATGTCACCTATGCACATATTTTATAAGTCAATATTGACTTATTAAATTTGTGAGAACGGGTTGGTGTATGCATAGATTCTCATTTTATATTGGAATAAAGGATTTGGCAGACAGAAGATATAGCGTTATAAAGCAAAAGATAGATGGATGTAACAATTGGAGAGTTACCCAGAGATCAATCTTCAAACCCAACCCAAGCTCTTTTTGATATGTGCCAATGACCTACAGGAACAGATAATTTTTCATATTGATATTAGTGAGCAATACCAAACTAATTAAGAATGCAAATATTATAAGATTGTAAAACATTGCAGGAAACTAATTTCTTGCAGGTGATTACTATAGTTAAGCTCTAATAAATGTAAGACATGGAAAATGAGAGCCAGAAAAGGAGTCTGGCAATATCATACCCTCTTTAGAGACCACTTCTCCAAGTCTGAAAGATAAAATTAGCTCAGAGTGGATGTCATTCTGAAATTACCACCTCAAGAGCACACCAAAAGATAATGTTTATAGACTATATAAAGTTGGCACCTGTAAAAATAGCTTTATGACTCTAAACTAGGAAACCTCCAGTTCATAATGGTAAAGGTTTTGTTGTGATGCCCCTCTTTTCCCCTCACTTCACAGTCTTATCAGTCAGTCTAATACATACTTAGGTTGTGCAGGTCTGGACGTTTTCTGACGTTTTGGCCCTGCCCTACATTCATCCAAAAGTGTGCTTCTGCCCCCTTTTGCCTTTATTAGTGGCATTTTGTGTTGGTTGCCTTATTGTTGTTATTATATACCCTGTTGTAGGTTACATGAGACATTCATCTGCGGTGAATCTTACATCATCACCTTCAACTTCTGCAGTGAATCTTACATCATCATTTTCATTTTCTGTAGTGAATCTTACATCATCATTTTTATTTTCTGCAGTTTCAGGGTTCAGTTCTGTAGCAACCTTCCCTTCTGTTGCCCGAAGTATAAACGGGTGCACAATAAAATTACAGTAACATGGTATATCTTCGGGAAGTCGAGATGCAAGTTTAGTCCCACCCATTGCCATAACTTTCTTTTATATACAGATACAGATGACCACATGCTTTCCAAACACTACTTATCATGATATGCCAGATATTCATTTGGGTTAAGCAGTAAACTGGTGAAGTGAGCAGGGGGTCCAAATAGAAATGTGCAATAAAGTTGAGGCGAGCTATGCCAGGCATCTCTGCCCATTGGTAAAGTGGGTGGTGCGGGAAGTGTGTGTGTGGATGGGAGATGAGCTTAGTTTGTCCATTGACCATATTGGGCACCCACAAGAGTTCCTCCTATCCATATGACATTCTTGCGATTTTGTTGGATACAGTATATCCAAAATTTAGTAATATCCATGCACCATACCAGCTCCAAATGCAGGCATTTTGTCAGTGAAAGCTTCTACAAGGAAGATAAGTAAAGAAGGTCTGTGATGACACTTGAGAAGAAAGTTGAACAAATTAAGGAGGAGGAGAGTGGGATCCCAAGAACCCCACTTTTCCCACAATCCCACAGAAGGAAAGCTTTTCTAGGGAAAAGCATTCCGTCTGTGATTGTTAAATATATTTGCTACAACAAATTCAGCCATATAATACAAAATAATTGTTGTATCCTCAGACTCCAAGCAGCCGTGGAAGAAAGAAGAAGGATGCCCAGTCAAAAACACCAGTTGAAGGTGATGAAGAAACTCCGGGAAAACCCTACGAGTGCCAACGTAAGTTAACCATATATATATTTTTCTCTTTGAAAAATGTGATATCCAAGCTCATGAATATTTTATAACACCAACATGAAATATTTTTTACACCACTTATACTCCTTAAACCATGATGTTTGAAGTTCATTGCAATTGATAATTACAGACTGTCTCTTTATATGTAGTTTGATATTTGGTGGCAAAATATTATTATCTTTCATTAGTTATTTTTATGTTATGGATTGTCTTGATTAGAAGGCATTTCATGTTTCAGTTTTTTATAGTAAATGGAGGAAATATAAATAATGAAATGCTAAGATATTTTTAAAATTTTTATGTTTGAATGCAATATATTATAATTCTCTGGACTTGAATTTGATACACTTTCCTGGATATCATGATAACATAAGGGTAACACTTTGACCTTCTAACTTGAGGATATCATTGGGATAACAATTTGATCTACCACCTTGAAGATATAGGGCCATGCATGATGTTCCTTTCAATAAGGCTTTCAGGACTGGTAACTTTTGTTATGATCTTGTACTAATTCCTTCTTTTCCTTGAGGTTCCCCACATCATCCCAGAAGAAAGGCCATAACATATACATTTCAGATGTAATAGTCACATAATTAAACAGAGAAAGTTTTATTGTTTGTGATCTGAGAGATGGCCTCAAGAAGCCAGGTTAGAAAACAGGAGATAATGATAATTTTACAATAAACAATGTATTACATGTAGTACAAGATTTAAATGTTGCTAGTGCTTGCCTCAAACGTTCCTGCATAATAACTGGATATCAGTTATTAAGCAGTCCCAGTATCAACAGCAATGTTAGTGTTGCCATTTGGAATTAAAATTGTTAGGTGGAAGTGTATTTCCAAACAGCTTCTGTGAGATTTCGAATGGGCACCAAGTCTGTCCTGAAATACATGTTCATTCACCTCGAGTGTTGATGTTGTGTCAGACTAGTCTGAATTACACAAGGTATGCATTGTCGGTGAGTTACATGAGGACACTGTGTTTGATTATTGTAAGAAGGAAGATTATCAGAAGTGTACAGATAATTAGAACAATCAATGTTATCGTAAACGGAAAGACGAGGTCAAATGTGAGTCACTTTTTTTAATTGTATTTGTAGAAGCAGCCAGTCATTTTATGGGAATTTTTCACATAACAAAGTTAATAGAGATGAGTACATTGTGGAAAAAGATGGATGGAAATTTTAGTGAATATTTTCAGGTGATGAGAAGTAATGACGTAACCCACGTTGCCGTGGTCTTGCAAGGTATTGACGTTATCAGGTGATAGGCCTATAATAGTGAAGATTAATGTTAGAGAATGATAGACCTGTTGTAGCAGAGATATAGGTTAGAGGAGATGATAGGCCCATAGTAGTGGAGATAATGTGAAAACAGTAAGATACCATACAAAAGAAAAATTAGTTGTAGACTGATTTTGACTTTTGTTTTAAAAAGAGTTGCTCTGAGAGACAGCTGTGGTGATATTGAGAGGGGGGGGGGGCAGTAACATATTGTACATGGTTGCAGCAACATTGTACATGTGTGCAGTAACATACTGCACATGTGTGCATTGACATACTGTACATGGGTATAGTGACATACTGTACATGGGTGTAGCAACATGCTGTGTACATACACTAGTGTTATACTCTGCCTATTGCCTTGCACTCAAGTGAAGCTTACTCTGTGTACTACAGGATATGCATGCTGAGAGGTGGATGGGTAATATACACTTAGAGCTGTAGTTCATGTGAAGAACAAAATATATATATATACGAGCAAGGGAAAAGATCCACTCACATGTGGACATTATGAGAGAGGTTCATATTAGTGCAAGTTGCTCAGCACAACCTATTGATCACAGGTGTGCTGATACATTGAAGAACTTGTGATTATAAAAAGAGCTCTGATTACTTCAGTAACTGTAGAAATAGTAATGGAGGATATAGAGTAATGAACATGATTGTAGGAGGAAAGCTGGATAGGATACAGTTTTTAGTCATTAACCACATAATAATATTTGTATTCAACGTGGATGTAAGCAAAGTAGTTGGCCATTTTGAATGCCGATGTTTGTACAGGTAATCGGCTCACCTGTTTATAACGGAATTTAACCAACCTTAATGTGTAAATTATGACCTTTATATTACCCACCTTTTCAATACTTTTATGCAAAATTTCTTTAGTAACATACTTGGTACCCTCAGGTCTAAAATTCATATTACCAAATACTGGTGCCAAATACCTGCAGAGCACTGCTGTGGCCATCTGGGGGTACTGGTGTGGCCATCTGGGGGTACTGGTGTGGCCATCTGGGGGCACTGCTGTGGCCATCTGGGGGCACTGGTGTGGCCATCTGCAGAGCACTGCTGTGGCCATCTGCAGAGCACTGCTGTGGCCACCTGCGGAGCACTGCTGTGGCCACCTGCGGAGCACTGCTGTGGCTACCTGCGGAGCACTGCTGTGGCCACCTGCGGAGCATTGCTGTGGCCACCTGCGGAGCACTGCTGTGGCCACCTGCGGAGCACTGCTGTGGCCACCTGCGGAGCACTGCTGTGGCCACCTGCGGAGCACTGCTGTGGCATCTGTGGAGCACTGCTGTGGCCACCTGCGGAGCACTGCTGTGGCCACCTGCGGAGCACTGCTGTGGCCACCTGCGGAGCACTGCTGTGGCATCTGTGCAGCACTGCTGTAGGCTTCACCTGTGGAATACTACAGAGCATCTTGCTTACAGCTTCCAGATTATCCTATTCAGGTTCAATTTGGCTTCTCAGATTTTTATAATGTTGACATGTGGTGGTTACTCCCCTTCCGTTGTGGGTGCTCGTATCTTGGCCTACCTCGATGACTGACTGGTTTGAGTTCCCAGCCAGTCTGTGTGTATGCAAGCTAGGGATTTAGTTCATCCCCAGCTTGCCTGGGTTCAGGTTCCTGGTGAACAAGAGCAACTCATGGTTGGTTTTGTCCCTGGTTTGGACTTGGTTGGGTGGGCATGGTCTGGGATCCTCGGACAGCTTCCTTTCTTGCCGCTGGCAACTTTGCTTTGTTTGTAGGCCTGCTGCTGTCTGGTGTTGGAGAGGCCCTAGGTTACTCTGCATTTGATTGAGAGGTTGTGCAAGAACCTGAATTTTGCTTATGCCCTGTTCTAGCTCCTTTGGTATCACTCTTTGTCACTGGAACATCAGGTGCATGTTGCATTTGATGTTTACTGGTTCACCAGTTTCTTATTTGGGCTTTTTTGGGGTTCATTTCCATTGCATGCTCTTGCGATAATGCTTCATCTGTTTATGGATGCCTCAGCCCTGGGTTGATGCTTTTGATCAGCAATCAAGCCTCCCAAATTCATTGGGCAGGTTCTCCTCATTGAACAAACAGCACGGTTCACAAGTTTGCATGCCTTGCAGTAGTGTGGCAGGCTCTATGGTATGTTCCTCTCCCTCTGACCTTTATGATCAGACTCCATTCTGATTTCTCCCTGGTAGGTCATTGTCTGAATCATGGGAAGCCTCTTTGGTCTTCTGAGGAGCTGAACTCTGCAAGTAGTTCTTTTTTCTGGATTCTTGGGGTTTACCTCTCTGTACAGTTCATGTGTGGGGGCATATCCAATATTCTAGCTGATGATTTCTCTTGTTTCCATCCCATTTTCACAGTGGAATGCTGATGTTGTGTCCCTCCATTGACTCTGATATTTGTTTTGCTCGAGGAGACCCTCTTCATGTCTCCATGGAACTGGTGGCTTTGTTTGCTGATCTTGAGTTCCTAACAGTAGATGTTTCTTGGCTGGACTGGAGCCAGTGGATGTTCGTGTATCTCTTACCTCAGGTTCAGCTGTTGTTCATGTTGTTGTCCAGAATAAAGATGTTTGTAGTCAGGGTGTTCTTTCTGGCTCCTTCGTGGCTTATTTTGCTGTTTGTGTCTAGCTCTTTTGGCCATTTGTCCAGACACATTTTTCTGTGACTCCATCTCTTTCAGAGGATTGGTCATGAGACATTGTTTGATGCTTTGAGGCTCTCCTTCTGTCTTCACATTTGGAATTCTTTACTTTGGTTTACCACCATCTGTATGGTCTGCAGGTGGCTGCTCTCTTGATGTCTCACCTGTATCTTTTGTCTCGGTGACAGTACGGTATGAAATTCCTTGGCCCCCTCCTTTCATCTTTTCTTGTCTCTTCTTTGCTAGTCTTCTGTTTTAATGGTCCTCTCCTTTTTCATCCTGGTTAATTGTGGATTGGGATCTTATGCTGAATACTTTCGCCTCATATCGTTTAGTGCTGGCAGAGCCGCTTTAGTGTCGACTCTTCTTTGGCACCATTTTGTAAGTTGTCTCGTGTATTTTCACCTCCCGAGACTTTCTGGTCTCTGGATTGGGTTTCAGTATTTCTTTGGTCTCCTTGGTTCTTTGTTGTTCCTTCAGTCCGGGACACTGTTTCTAAAGGTGTGTTCTTTTTGGCCCCTCACTTTTGGATTTGGTTTAGAGAGTTTTGTACTCTCCTAAGTGTGGTTTCTCTTCTTTTGGCCCTGATAGGCAGCTTATTCATTGCTGTCTTCTTCTCTTCTGGATAAGAGTGAGACAATTAGCTTCGGGCGAGGTTCATTAGTTAATGATTTTTAGTTTGTTCGGTCAGGGGGTGCACCATTTGTTGTGTCCAGGTGCAGCTGTCCATCTTTATCTGTGCTTCACCTGGATTGCTCCTGGTGGTGCTTTGACTGTTGGTTTGGTTTGTTGGTTCTTGGTTCTATGCTCCAAGGCTTATGTGTCTCGGGTCATAAAGTCTAGTCAGCTAGCGGTGTACACTTTGGGCCCCATGTGGCTTTGTCCGCAGTCTTTTTATAATATGGTTTGAGCTCATAGATTTTGGTGGGTTGTTATCTAGTTAAAATGCTGGGGCCCCACCTGGATTGTCTGACTATGGGCCGAGTTACCCATCTTTGACTCTTACCTTTTGGGGGTTATGGGTTTCTCATCTACTCTGCCCTTTTTTTCTTTTGTTCTCTG